AAAAAAAAAAAAAAAAAAAGAAAAAAAAAAAAATTACTTTAAGTATAAAACAATAAACATAATTAAAAATTTATTTTTTAATTTTTTAGGGTTTAGGGTTTAGGGTTTAGGGTTTAGGGTTTAGGGTTTAGGGTTGTGACGCAGAGAGCAGCGACGACCGGAGCTAACCGAGGTCACTTAATACAAACCCTAAACCCTAAACCCTAAACCCTAAACCCTAAACCCTAAACTTTGGTTTATTTAAAAAAGTAAAAAAGTATTTCAGTATATTCAGGGGTGAACATCCATTCGTTTGGCCCTATATCTACTGTCTAGGGTTTAGGGTTTAGGGTTTAGGGTTTAGGGTTTAGGGTTTGCACGAGAGAGCGTCTCAGCCTTGCTGCAGTATGTTAGTGGGGTCCGTTTTCTCTCTCTATCACTCTCTCATAAACCCTAAACCCTAAACCCTAAACCCTAAAACCCTAAACCCTAAACCCTAAACCCTAAACCCTAAACCCTAGGTACCCGGGCAAGCGAGGGAGCGGCAGCGCCGCAGCTACAGCAAACAGAAATAAATAAAAAACAAATAAAAATAAATAAAAAATAAATAAAAATAAAAATAAATAAATAAATAAATAAATAAATAATAAATAATAAATAAATAAATAATGAATAAACAAATACATAAAACCAATAAAGAGATAATAAACAAATACACAAAAACAAAAATAAACAATTATATAAATAATAAACAAATAAAAAAAACAAAAAAATAATAAATAAATAAATAAAATATAAACAAACAAACAAATAAACAAACAAACAAAACTAATAAACAAAAAAAAAAAAACAAAAAGGTTATATAGTTATAGCTGAACCGATAGAAACCCTAAACCCTAAACCCTAAACCCTAAACCCTAAACCCTAAAGGAAGAGGAGAGAGACAGAGAGAGAAAAAGAAAAAGTAAACAAAAAAAGAAAAAACAAAAAAACAACAAAACACCGAGGCAATCAACATACAAAACCACCGCTGCACATCTGTGGTTTAGGGTTTAGGGTTTAGCGTTTAGGGTTTAGGGTTTAGGGTTTGGGGTTTTCCTGGGCTCTGTGATGATAAAATATTCTCTCTTTAGGAGGAGACATACACCGCGAACTGAAAACCCTAAACCCTAAACCCTAAACCCTCAACCCTAAACCCTAAACCCTAAACCCTAATGGTTGTGTTTTCTTTTTTTGTTTTTCTTTTCTTGCTTGTCTTTGTTTATTTGTTTGTTTGTTTCTCTTC